ATTTTGACGGAATTCTGATGAAGTTGATTAAAAGGACCACAATTGTACATTTTGATGAATTAAGGGACTAATGATCATGTAATTTTAGTTAAAGAATCATTGCTACAATTGAGTTAAAATTGAAGGACCATTTCTACAATTTTCTCAATATTAAAATGATTTATATAAAGAGGGAATAGCTTTCGAGGAGTAAAAGTTGAGAGATTAAACTAAAGTTTTGCAATCCTTTTTATCTCATCTTTCATAATGTCAACTGGCGATTGGTTATTATAACGTTAGGGTTTTGAACTCCAACGATAATCAACCGGATTCTCATGCCATTACCGTCGGGGATGGCTGCCATCGATTCTACGATCAAAATAACGATCGAAATTACGCAAACCACCAAGAAAGGGGTTCGAGCACAGAGGTCGGGGCGACGATAATTATTATTATTATTTTTTCTTTAAAAGGAAAACTGGACCCGTGAACTCGGCCCGTTTTACACGGACTAGGATTAGGTCCGGTTTCATAATTAAAAACCCAACACCCCGACCCATTATAGCCCAAAGTGGGAGAAATAACGGGAAATATGGTGCTAAAATGGGCTTCAAGTGAGCCCACAACTATTTGTTTCTAGAAGTTAGGGCAACTTAAAATGGGCTTAAATTATCTTTTATCGGATAAATATAGATGCAAAAAATAAAAAAATAAAAAATAAAACGATGCCATTCACTTTTGGTCAAGTTCACTTTAATTTGGTCCCTATAATTTAGTTAAAATTCGCTTTTGGCTCTAGTATTTTTTTTTAATTACAAAAGGAGTAGTCCTTGTGGTTTTAATTTTTACATTTTAAGTTTAACAAATGATGAAATTCAAAGGCTACCTTACTTGGACAAAAAAAAAAAGCTACCTTACATTTTTGCATCCATTTAATTAACGAAAAAACAATGCAAAATATACCCTGTTGCATGGTTGTTAAACTAGTAAAATTAAAATTGAGACGTTTAAAATGATTAAAAAAAAATTTAAAGAAAAAAGAAGCCATTTTATGTAAATATGTTGAATATTAGAGAACTAAAAACTTCTTATGTGGCACCAAATTTTAAGAGAGTTGTTTAATAATAAAAGGGCCCAAACTAATAGACATGTGCATTGGGTTATACAAAGCCCGAAAAGAAAAGAAAAAAGTTTTAAAAAGGCCTGGGCCGAACTGACGGCCCATTTTAAAACATTATAGAAGCGTAGGGCGTCGATTCACAGTCCTACCCCTTTCCTACAAAAGCAATCATTCCGCTCCTATCCATTCTTGCGGTGTCCAAAATCATTATTTATTATTCAATTTTTTTTTACTTCATATTATCATTACTCACACACCACACGTCCTTTTTGTATTTTCTTTTGAGAAATTACGGAAAATTATTAATGTGCTCCTATTTATTTATTATTTTATTTTCTCTGCGTAGTCAAGTCACATAGATTTATTGAATGTTCGCATTTATAGTGTTTCTTTTTATTTTTAGTGAAATAATGGATAAATCCCTTGATAATTATGCTTAGTTGCTTAAAGCTGACGATTTTGCTCGGTCGAAATGGACTTTTTGTCTGGACGACTAGCACTTACTGCTAAAATACCTTTGTTTCTGTTCGACATACCTTCGGGTAAATACGAGCAAGCCCAGCATGGGTAGTTGCTCGGGGAACGGAGGAGAGAAAAGGGCCCGAGGCCTCGTGGACCGGCTCCAGCGTGGGCAAGTCCGAGTAAAGGTGGAGGTCCGAGCTTCGGGCCCATGAAGAATTGCCAGCCCGAGAGCCTGAGGTCCTGTGACGTCAGCGCTGACGTCAGCCGTTATTTAATTTTTTTTGTGTCAGGCTCGTGCACCCCACTCGCGCGTGGGGGCGCATCACCGACACAAAATCAGAAGAAAAAAAATTTGCTTTTTCAGTTACAGTTGGAAAGCCACGTGGCTTCCCACGGTCCGTTCGATCTCAACGGATATTTAATTTGGACCGTTTGATCTCAACGGTAAAAAAAAAAAAAGTCTTATTTAATATCCACCGTTCGATCTGAGATCAACGGTGGATATTAATATGCTTTATAAATAAAAAAATAAAAGAAAAAATAGTTTTAAAATTAAGAAAAGTTACCGTTGTGACACGTGGCACAATCTGGAGTGTTGGAATTCAAATTTTTTTATATCCAATGGCAGAGATTAATTAATTGAATAAAAATTTAAAAAAAAATTGTAAAAAATTCAAAAAAAAATCTGAATTTTTTTTTAAAAAAATTGTTTTTACTTTTCTATAAATACCTTCTCATTATCATTTGCCTTACACAACAATTTCATATTTTCGTAACTACTTTCAATCACATTCCTTTCTTTGTCTCAAAGTTTGAATCCTTTTTTTTTTCAACAAAATGACCACTGGTGTAGGTACGAATTGGTCGCTTCTTGAAGATGTTGCGTTGTGTACTAGCTGGGTTGAAGTTACTCATAGTTCGCTTACGGGTAATGAGATGCAGTTGCGAGAAATGTGGAGTCTTATTCATACCAATTATCTTGAGAAAATTGATGGGAAAAGAACCAAAGAATCGATGTCCAGTCATTGGAAATTACTTAGCCAATCGTTTAGTACGTGGAGAGACGCATTGGCACAAGCTAGTAGTAATATTCGAAGTGGGGAAAATTACTCGGATCAGGTAACAATATATTATTTATTTGATACCCAAATTTACATTATAATTATTTGTTTGTATTATTTATTTGTTACCTACATAATTTATTATTTATTGTTTGTATTATTTATTTGTTACCTACATAATTTATTATTTATTGTTTGTATTATTTATTTGTTACCTACATAATTTATTATTTATTTGTTACCTACTTACATTATAATTATGTTGTTTGTATTATTTATTTGTTACTTATTTTCATTATAATTATTTATTCTCCCGAATTGTGTAGAAAACTATGAATAATGATAGAGATCTTGAGAAAATTGGTGTGAGATTTGTGAGGATGGATGGTGGATTATATGGAGGATTCAGAAAGGATTAGGTTGTACATAATGCCACGTGACATGCCGTCATTCGTTAACAATCTGATGGAAATCTATCCTCAAAGATTGTAAACAAATTATGACACGTGGCGCGACGTGATTGGTTAATAATCTTATCAGAAATCCATCACCAATTATTGTATTTTCGGATAATGACACGTGGCATAACGAGTACGATTAAAAAATTTATCGGAAATCCATCCCCAATAATTGTCTTTTCGGATTTTATGACAAGTGGCGCAACGACAACGATTAAAAATCTTATCCGAAATTACAAATAAAATTATTTTGTATTATTTAATAATACTTCGGATAATGACACGTGGCGCAACGAGAACGATTAAAAATCTTATCCGATATTACAATTAAAATTATTTTGTATTATTTTATAAATAAATAAAATACTAATATTTTATTGCCTATTGCCAGGGCTATTGAAGTGTAACGGTGGAGATGCAAATGCTATTGCCAGGGCTATTACTGTTCATTAAGGGCAATTACTGTTCATCAGGTGGATTGAATAGTGCATAACCTAGGAGAAGGGCTTCAACGCTGGAGTTGCTCTAAGAAAAGAAGAGGTCTTAAAATATATAATCCGTCTTAATCTTCCGAAAAAATAACCATCTAATTAAGAATTGCTCTTTATTTCGTAGGGTTCTTTCGGTACGGCCCGAAGAAAACATCCGCTTTTTTTTTTTTTGTGTTCACGAGGCCTAAACCGCTAGGAGAAGCTGACTGGTTGGTCAGCGAAGGAGATAACTTTTGGCGACCCATTGTTGGATGCCCAGTGATGCCATTGCCAACCATGGCTCAGAATGGGTGATAGGTACTGGTGAAAATATTAATTTTTGGCATGCAAGATGGTTAGATTTTCCAATAGCTGATAGGTTTGGTATTCCACCAGATTTATGCAAGGTTTTTTGGGCTAAAGTTTCTGATTTTATTGTGGATGGTTGTTGGACTCCCCCACCTACTTTACATTCATGGCTAGCATCCCATTTCGGATGATATTTCTTTTATTGGGCTTCCTTTAGAGTCTAGGATTGATGACAAAATGGTTTGGATATCTGCTTCAAATGGTGACCTTTCTTTATCTTTGACTTATGATTTTAAGCATAATAAATAAGCAACCATTGGTTCAATGGGATCGATGGGTTTGTCAATCTTGTTTTTGCCCTTGTAATTCGGTTACATTGTGGAAGTATTTACATGGTAAGATGTTAACCGATGATCTCTTGCAACAAAGAGGTTTTGCTATAGCATCTATGTGCTCTATTTGTTGTGAAGGTATGGAAACTGCTTCACATATTTTCTTTGAGTGCTTTTTTGCATGTCAAATTTTTGGTCTACTATTTTAGAATTATTCAGAGTTCAATATTTATTTCAAGATATTTTTAGCTTTTTCCATTATCCTTTACAACAAGGTTTTGGTACCCAAGTGTGGCTGCTTTGGTGGGGTATGATTGGAGTTGGTTTTTATTCTATTTGCCATGCTCGCAACGCTGTTTGTTTTCATGAGGAGGTTGTTTCCATCAATTATGTTGTAAGGTCTATTAAATTTCAACTCCTTGAAATTGATTCTCTCAATTTTGGTTGTATGAAGAATTATGTGGAAGAGCTTTGCATTCTTCAGTCTATTGGTGTTCGTGGACGTCCTGCTAAGGCTCCAAAAATTATTGAGGTGTTGTGGCGCCCGCCTTCTCAGTCTTGGATCAAAGTAAATAATGATGGTGATGCAAGAGGTTCCCCTTGTGTGGCTGCATGTGGTGGTATCTTTCGGGATTTTACCGGTCATTCTCTTGGTTGTTTTGCCGGTTCAATAGGTTTGGCCTCTTCTTTGGATGTCGAACTACGCGCTGTTATTCATGTTGTATCTTTAGCTTGGGATATAGGTTGGCAATCATTATGGATTGAATGTGACTCCTCACTGGTTGTTCATCTTCTTTCTTCATCTTCACCTTCTTTGACATCTATCCCTTGGAGGCTTTTGTTCTATTGGCATAATTGTCGAGTTTTACTATCATCCATGCAGGTTTAGATTTCTCATATTTTTAGAGAGGGTAATCAAGTTGTTGATTGATTGGCCAATTATGGTGTTGATCACCCTAGTGTCCATTGGTGGGATTCATGCCCTCCTTGTGCTGCAGCTCCTTATTCTCACAAACCTTTATAAGCTTCGTTGTTATAGGTTTTGCTGAATGAGGTTTTGAATTGTTGTTATGAATTCTTTAATGGTCCGAGTTTGGCCTCATGTCCCCCTTGACATATTGTATCTTTCTTGTTTATCAATAAATTCTCCTCAAAGTCACTTCCCATGATAGCAATGTTGGAGTGAGTTGGACTTTACGGCCAAAAAAAAAAAAAAAAAAAGTTAAACTGTTAGTTGTTAAGGATGAGAATCTTTGAGAATCGAACATACATCAAAATACAAAAATATAATTACTTTTTGCCACTATAATAAAGTGTCATCTACTTAACGAAAACGTTAGTTGAACATCAAGCAGTCCCTTTCTCCTTTCATGTTCAATTCGCTTCTTGTACGGTCTTTCATTTTTCCTTCTTTTTTCCCCCCTTTCTCTTACCATGTTCAATTTGCTTCTTGTACGACCTTTCGGTTTTTTCATTTTTTTTTTCTCGAATGCAAATTGCAAAGCATTACTAGAACAAACATATAATTTTGTCACTAGTTTATCCTTGAGATCAAACAATTTTAAGTTGGAGTTGAGAGGTCAAAATTGTCAATCTGTGCTACTATACCTTCACTCGAGAAAGTTAACAGAGCAAATAATTATATGTGCACTTTATTTTGTAGGGATTTCCCTCCCTCTATTACCTCTTTGCTTTTGCTTTCTTCCTAATCATACTGGTCTTCCACCACCACCACCACCAAATAACATAATTCTCTCACAACCCTTCTTCCCCACTTGAACAACTTGCTCTCAACACAGAAGCACTGAAGACTGGGAGTTTCCTTCACGCCAGCCATAACTCTCTGGTAAGCAAAACCCACCTTTCTAGCTCAAATTTGGTCGACTTTTACGCCGTTTTCTTTTCGGATTTCTTGTTCCTTAATTTGAATGCAGTTCATGCATTCCTGCAGCTGTGTGCGAGTCGGTGTCTTACTTCCCTGATGCTGAAAGTACGGACATTACTCTACACTTCCTAGAGATGTGTTTGTCTTTGACACAAGCGATAGTGGGGGAGGGGAACAAGTAACCTCAGATGCAAAGGTAAATACTCTTGACCAACTGAGCTACGAGTGTCTTACCTGGAGATGTGTTCATCAGTTCATGTCTTATTTCTAGGAAGGAAGGATATAACAAAAGAGAGTAGTGCACGCCAAAACCAAAACTATTTTCACTCAAATTACATAAAGTTTAGTTACATCAGAAATCATGGGGGAAATCAAACCAAAGAAGAAAAAAAATATAAATTTATTCTATACCCGTTTTCCACACCGGAAAAACGATAAACAGGAATCCATTTGAACTGGTTAATCCTCTCTCCTTTTGTTTCTTTCTTTTTCTTCTCTTTCTCTCTGTTTTGTTTTGATCATATACTCTAGCGGAAAATATCGGCGAGCTGCCTATGTATGCTTACATTAGTCTCACACTCTGGAACTAGGGATACAGCAAGTTCTGTACAACTGTAAAAATCAAGGCCAAAAAATGGAACACTCGGAAAACATATCGGATGACAAGAGACTAACTAAAGAATGACACGCCAAACACACGAAAAGCGAATACCGATGGGGAACTCTGAAGGAGGAAACTCTGCTTAGGACAAAAGAATGCAGAAAACTGTGTTAGATACATTTGCAAATGCTAAAATGCACCATTGCATTCTAGATCTGGGTTTTGGGAAGCAGATCCTTACCTGCCCATTTGTAAAATTTTAGGCTGGAATGGCTGCAATTCTCAGAAAAGAGGAATGCAAAACGGACACGAACTCAGTAGGCCATGTAAAATTACTAGAGATGAGGTGGTGGATCAAAAAGGTTGGTTATAGACTTTGGAGGAGGGATCGTTTGCAGGGTGGCGGTTGTGAAGGATTGGTGCTTGGGTTGGGGCAGGGGGAGTCCTCTCCAAGCGTTTTGAGCAAGAAATTCCTTTCCTGAAAAATCCAACACATAAGTGGTCAGTCTTGAATCAATATAATGTCATGCATTCGTACAAGAAGAAGTTAAGAACTTGTTATACATACACTAACCGTCACCTAGATTCTATGAGGCAAACGAGAAGCTACAGAGGTTTCCAAATTCAAGTTTGCGGGTAGAAGAAGTTAAGAGCATGGTAATGTACTTGGATATCAATAGTTTGTGGTGCATATTGTAAATGAAAGCACGGTGTTGTAGCTCCTAAATCTTTTTTCTTTAGGATGGAAACACTCTTGTCTTTTTTTAGCATCACCTGGACTTTGGTTAGGCATTGCATAGCTTCACTTAGATTCCAGCGGGGTGAATTGAAACAACATTAAGCATCATTATTAATACCACTTCTTCTGCAACCATTAAGACTAATATCTTTTTGTTTGATAAAGTTGAACTTCTGAGACAACTTACACTTTCAGAAAATTTTGGGCTAGGAATTCCTGCTGCCAAGGATCTGAACAATGGGGTAACTTTAATAGGAGAATTGAACTCTGTACTTGACAATACAGAAACAACTGCGTAGTCTTTTGTTGCTTCATCACATGACGGAAATATCTCTGCGAAAAGAAAGATTAGATAAGTTATCAGGAAATTTGATTGAATAGCAAATTTGATGTGTAATTCAAAAACAGAAGTTATCATCAGCCAACATATGTAAGATGTTATATGTTAATCCATTACCTTGCTTTTTGGAAAAATTCCCTTTCTCACAATCACCAACACCATTTTTCCCTTCAATAGGAATTGACTGTGACCCTGGTTGAATCTCCTGGTTCAGTGAACCTATTTCAACTTTATTTTGTTCCACTTGATAGTATTCTGTTTGGGACAGAAGAGTTGACCCTGTACTGTATTCGGAACTTCCTGGAGACTCGTTGTATAAATCAGGCTGCCTGCAATGTCTGTGTCATCAATTAGATGTTGTGCAGGGGTTTAAGCATGCTCATATTAGAATAGTAGTCTAAGTTACTTTTCTTACTGCCAAGATGGTCGGCTTCCTTCAGTGGTGCTCATTAAGTCCTCTAACAGATATTTAAGATCTTCGAGTTGAAAATCAAAATCATTAATTCCATAACTGAGGATGTCACCATCTTTGCTTTGATTCAAGAAATCTTGGAGCACCTGAATATCACATTTGATGTTTGTTAGAGGATTTGCAGATTCAATTTGGCACCGGACATAAATCTGTTTTACTCTATGAATCAGATATGGAGGAATCAAGTACTAAAGGCATCTGACCATTACATTCACAATATATGCGAGTTATATGTATAATTGTATTTATATGTTCCTACGATTTTACTTGATAGGACGTTTTCAAAAACCAAGTAATTAAATGTTGATAGCTCAGTCCACAGGACCACAGCAAATAGATAATCTTTTCTCACCTTCCAAGCATTTTCAAGACTCTGGTCTGTGTTCTCTGCATTAACTTTTAATGCCAGCGAGCTGAGCAATTCTGCTTGTTGCATCAAAGCAATTATCTTCGGGTCATCCTTCTTGAGAAATGATCCTTGAAACTTGCTCTTTTGTACCGCTGATAAATGAAAGTAAGAGTGACATTAGATTCTTCTTAAGTTTTGTAGTTGAAAACATATAAATCAATGCATCATTAATTTTTCAAATGATAAATAGGCCAACTTTCTGCTGTCCAAATAGAAGGAATATGCTTATGTTCTCACACATTTCCTGCAATGTGCTTATCAGGCATTGTAACAGAAATCTGATGAGTTGCCGAACAAGTTTTAATTTGAGGTGATTTACCATTCACGTGGACTTCCTTGGTGCTATTCACATTATTCTGGTCTGGCAGATTCTCTACATTGTGGACATTCTGAATCAACACTGCAAATGGAGCTCTTAGCTGCTGACTCATCTTTCCACACTGCTCGAGTAGTCTGTCCCCCTCGGAGAGACTAGGAATGTGGCTTCTCCTGTGTCGCACAAAGAATGAGTTCTACGATTTTGAGTGGTAATCTAATTAACATTTTGTACATAAAGATATAAACTTTACTATACCTCATCTTCTTAGAAGGTGCTGTAGTTTCTGCTGTTCCATCTGTATTGAATCCATTTCGGATTATTACCCTTTTGTCATTCTGATTGATATATGAAGCGGCATTCTCTTTAGCTAAGGCTTCATATTTTGCTCTCTTCTTGCACAAGGTGGAAAACCGGTTTTTCACGGCATTGTCAGTTCTGCATCAGTAGCACAACTGATGATCTTAAGCGCGTCATTAGACGAAGCTATCTTATAACAGGAGGAGAAAAAAGAAAGTTAATATACCTTCCCGAAACCACCTTCGCTATTTCTGTCCATCTGTTTCCGAATATCTTTTGAGCCTGCAGATCAGATCACCTAGAAAATTAGGTTGATACCACATCCAATGATGAGGGTAATAATGTTTAATGTTGAATAAACAGTGGTCAGGTTTTCTGTTCAACTTTAGGAAGTCGCACAATCCAATCACTAGGTCTGGCCTACTTGGTCATATTAAAGAAAATGATTAAAGCTTCTCTAAAATCAAGTTATGATGATTTATTTTTCGGCTTAAACCAATTAAGGATGCAGAAAGTAGAAGAATTTCATCCCTTTTTTGACAAGCCAATATTCAAACTTGTCTAATCTACGGCGATGGGAATTAAAACTTGGGCGTAAGGAGGCTGGAATAAGGCGATATTCTAAACTACTGTAATCAATTACCTCGCACAAGAGCATGTCTTCCTCTGGTGACCACCCTCCTTTCTTGAAGTCGGAATTCAAGTATGTGTACCATCTGCAACATTATTGTCAAATTTCAGACAAAACAAATTAGCAGTCAAAACAATTAGACCTCAATAATTGAGTAGGATAAAAAACAGCGGATTTCTCAACAGAACTTAAATTCAAATATCAATATCATTGGGTTTGAAATTACCTTCTCCTGCACTGTCTGGTTGTTTTATCCTTGAATTTAGATGCAATGATAGCCCAACTGCAACACAAATTGATCACAAAACAAAGCCCTTAATTCATTTTCTACCAAGAAAATGGTAATTTTATTGAATAAATGTAAAGTAAAATGTAAAACCAACCCAGGTTTAAAAACCAAGAAACTTACTTTTCTGTTCCATGGATGCTAATTTGATTCCTCAGAATATCATCTTCCTGCAACTCATAAAAACAACCAAAACCCATGTCAGAGAAAAACCAAATAAACACAATTGGGTGTCTTGATCAAAACCCAGAATTCAAAACAGTCCAATCAAATAGAGAGAGAGAGAGAGAGAGAGAGAGAGAGAGAGAGAGAGGTGAAAAGAACACCTCTTGAGACCAAGTAACGATGTGGCGCTCCTTCTTCTTTGACTCCTCCTGCGGCATTTGGGTTTTTAATTTCACCTCTCTCTCTAGCTATCTCACAATTTCTCACTCCTCACTTTCACTCTCTCTCTGTCTCTCTCTGTCTCTCTCTGACGCTCCCAGATGATCCCTTTATCAAAACCAAGTTGCATAATACTACAAAAGCCAGAGTGTTTTTCCAGCTATATAATATAACAGCCACACCTCAAAAGCTATACTATCTCCTTCCTGGATTGGATTTTAATTGCCTCGGATTCTACCTTTTCAGCCGCACCCTTTGGAGTTTGGAGTTTGGAGTTTATATCACAAGTACATGCTCAAACAGTGCATGTACTTGTAAAAACAGATTAGATTGGATCTGGGTATTTGTATTTGTATCGATTTTCAACAGCTTACAGAGATTTTGGGATGAAAAATACGATCAGGGTTCGTGAGAGTTTTGGGGTGGGAGTGGACTGGACTGGACAGAACAGTGAGAGGGTGGATAGAAGAGGGGGAGAGGGGAGAGCTTTTTTGAAAGTTTCTCTGTGTCTTTGCAACCAATAAATTTGCAACTTACAAGCAAGTCTGGAAAGATCGTATATTTTAATGAATAAAAAATAAATAAACACCAACGGATTGTTTGGTTGCTTTAGTTTGTAGTGCGCGGGTATGAGGGGAAGTTTGAAAAATAACGCTGAATTCCATGAGATAATATTAATGGATGGATGATGGATGGATGATGCTGTAGTAGACTAAAACCCCACAGGGCCACGCACCACACTATACATACATACATACATACATACATACATACATATATATTATTATTTTTTAAATATTTATTATTCATATCATTATATATTTTGTAATAATATATATGACTTGCATACAAATTTGACCCCTAAACTTTTGAATTTTTTCACTTTGATCATATTTTTGCCCCAAGTTAGTCTTCAAACTTTTGTAAGTGTGTTTAATGACGACATACAGTGACTTCAGTTAGAAAAGTTAAAAGACATCGGCATGTGATGTAAATTTTGACTTCCATTTCAACCAAGTCACTCACTTCTAAGCTCCTGATTCACATTAGGGGTTCATAGGCGAGCTTATTGTCTTCGCTTTTTACAATCCAACACCATTCAACATTGTAGACCCGGTTTTGGATACATAAGCAATGGTAGCCTCATGTAATGTGTTGTTATTTTATGAATTTTACACAGGCTTCACCTTCTTTCCAATGCATGCGTTTTTAATATTTTAGTTTTAATGAATTTAGTTAGTAGGGACAAGGCAGAAACAACATTGAGAAATGGAAGAAATAGGTTGGAAGGGTTTTAATTTGTGCGATTTGACTTCCTTTCAAAACACTCAAAATGTGTATAATATCCTTAGACTTATGTTGGTATTTTAAGTAGAAGTCACCACGTGTCCCTACTTTGTACACTTGCATACGTTTAGGCTTATGATGACAAAGGAATTTATTATTTAGGGACCAAACTGGAATAAACTTAATAATTGAGAGGCCAACTTTGAAAGAATTCCATGTATATTTTATACAGTTTTTTTTTTTTATTAAAGTGAATAAAAAGTGATATGATTGCGAGTGACACATGCATGATGAACATCATCATATTCATATATATATATATATATATATATATATATATATATGAGAGCATTTTGATTTGTTGGTTTCAAATTTTTGAATGCGTTTTTTTGTTTAAAGGGGACGTGACCATCTTCGTGACCTAACCTTCTCATTCAGCCACTCACTTATTCACTCTCACTCACATTAATCTTGCTATTTCTTCTACGCCGCCTTCAATTTTACTGTGATTTCAGTTGGCCTTTCTTCATCCCCACGCGTATGCGAGGCGCGTGTCCACAACCTTCTGTTTCCATTGGTTCCAAACTTCCTATTCCCCACGAGCATTTGAAAATTTAAAATTGAAATATTTTAGGTATCATTGATCATACCAATTGTTTAGATCCATACACGCATGATTCATGCTAAAGGAGTTTTTTTCAATCACATATTAATGGTGTCTAATCGTATTACTAGATTTTCCCTTATTTGTTCTTATGACAGGTTTTTCTTACATAATTACTATTGATTTCAGTATTTATAAGTTATAATTGATAGGGTTTTGATGAGACAAAAACTATCAATTTAACTTTTTTGTTACGATATAATACGCTTTTGTATATGATATGCAAATGCCCAAAAACTGGGGAGGGAAGCGGAGTGACATGGGAGGGGGGCGGTGGAAGGATTGTGATAGGCAACGCGATGGGACTGAGCAATGAAGGGGAAATGAGAAACTGGAGGAAGGACTATTAGGGTGTTTAGCAGGCTGCCGCCAGCCCCAAGCCGAAGCAAGGGACCGACGACTGAGAAGCTTTGAGATCTAGGGTCTTTCAAAGTAGGACTTTTCATGGACTCTGTGCTACTTCACAATTTAACGTCAATTTTTGTGTCAACATCATAAAATATTATGCCAAAAACATGATGTGGCAAAAAATTCATGAAAAGTCTAATTTTTTAGATAGTCTTCTTAGTATTTCTCGTGTTATCAATTATCGCAATGCAATATCCAAACAGTTAAATAGAGTTAATACACCTAGCCCTACGAACTAGCTAGTTTGGACCGTAAATTGTATATGCAAATTAATTAGAAATTGTTCACCCTCTCCTGCAATATATATATATATATATATATATATATATATAAAGTCAAAAAGAAAAGCCAGGAACGGGTCTTCATCAAAGCCAAAGGCAGCAAGTTGCTGTTAATTATCCGTACTCCATGTATTAGGATAGACACTAAATTGTCAATAGTAATTCAAAATTGATGAGAAAAAAAGGAGAGAAATTAGAAAAAGATATAACCCCACATTTCTCTCCGCGAAGTGACAGCAACCTAACTATGTTTATATTAAATCCGATTTGTTATTTTAGAATGAAAATCCATGGGGGCCTCAAAACTAAGTAGCGGACTGGTTGCTGGCGAACATATTATATCCAAAATATATAACACAATAAAGTAAAAGTTCCGCATTTTCATATTATGCTTCCATAATTCCATTACTTTGACATAATCTTATTCTAATTAGTATCAAAATGACAGGATCATTGTGTTGAAAATAAGTTTCACATTGATAAGAAACGAGACCTTTCATGTGCATATAAATAGTTGGACTATTATATTGTCAATTAGTTTTATAATAAAACTTCAATTTTCTTCGCATTGCACTAGCCGTACATAGGGTTTGAACTTCTAATATATAGTATATGTACTATGATACGTCATGCTATTAAACTATCCATTTAAGCAGCTTACAACATAAGTATGTTATAATACTATTGTAAACCATACATTAATATTGTTCAGAAAATATTCTGATCGGACATTGTGTTCTTGTGAAGTATAAACATCCATCCATTCCTTTGTCTAAGAATAGGAAAACAATTCTTCATTTATTATACAGACAAAACTTTCACTTATACCTTCAACCAACCTGAATTTTCTATTTGCACGTTAACCTTTGCCAGGTGGGCAAGTCCGCGATCCACCACGTGGCCCAGTAAAAAGATAAATGCGTAATCCTGTCGAACTTTTGAAATCTTCAATTAGTGGAGCCCTACAAACGGCAAAAATACCAGAAATTGGCATCTCAATGGTCTCTTTCTTGACAGAGAAGTCTCCCGCCAAAACAAGCTATTGATTCAAGGAAGAATTATGCTTACTCATTCTGCATACTATTTGAGAATAATGATGCAATCAGAGTCAGAGAAAAGAATGGGACGCATATATTTATATACATACATACACATATATAACTTATGGTGATATATAGTATAAACACAAAAAATGATTTTTGCGCATTATTTTGCTCGCTTATTGCACTTACATTAATTATATTTTTATAAGTTATTAGATCGAACAAATAAAAGAGAATTAAGTACTGGAATTAAGGAGTGCAGAATAAACCTAAACTTATTGGAAAGGAAATCTAAAAATGTTCATGTAAAAGGGAAATAGTGGGAGTATGTAGCTAGCCAGGAAGAGGGTCGATGATATTTGTCCCACAACCAGCCATAAAATTGAAGGGCAAAGACCCAGGAAAAGAAAAAAAAAAGACCGACTTTGTGGAACCCTATGTAAAAACTAATTTTCAGTATTTCAACATGAATATATACATATATAATTATATATATGAATTCTCCCTTTAAAACTTTTAAAAGCTTTAAAGACTTTAGAACAAATACGTACATATATCTAACGTACAATACTCCCAGGACCATGCATGAAACCCTAATATTCAAAAAGCAAAGTTCCCTCCCTCTTCGATCATCTTCCACCCATTGTGCGTTAATTTTGTCATTTTTCAGCTTTGATTGAACCTTGAAAGTGAAACCTTTCATTTTTTTTCTTGTCCTGCCTCCCTCGACTTTTTTATCTTTTGACGCTTAGCTATATGGCTTAGCTACGCCACTGGACATTTGTAAATGCCCTTCTTATGCTGGTATATATAATCGTCACCTTTGACAAATTTCACGCGGTTTTATCAGAATTTAGGTCCATTTGGTCCCATATGCATCGGATGCATGTAAGAAAAAAGTATAGCATGCATGACTTCTTATGGTTTTGGTCAATTACCTATATTAATATTATACTTTTAGTTTCTAAACTTTGTAAATCTAAAACCAGTAGGGCATGCTTTGGCACATCATATACTAGCTGAACTGCATAACTTATTTGACAGAACCATACTATTTAGAGATGGTATGTGTTTGTGTATAATTCGCTACGACTTCAACGTTACGCAAGACAATAGGCGGTCTTGTCCCTCTCAATTTAATACCTTACGGCTAATCTAGAAGACTTTGGAAGAAATTAAAATGAATTGGACAATGTTTAAGCATTTCCCTTTCCCCACATTTATAATCTAACATATAAAATAGTTTTGTTGATAGATATGGATATTGAGGATCAAAAGTCATAATTGCAGTAACATTCTTTTGAAAAACATATCTCTCCTTTGTTTTCGAACTTTAAGATAAACATTTCTCATGCCTTATTCATCATCAAACAATGCACTCACACACACACACACACACACACACATATATATATTATGAATAGTGTTCTTTTTCCTAAATAATTTGGCATGCTGTTACCAGACTATCAATATGAACCAAATAACAAAATAAAAATGTATCTAATAATACTAATGTGATTATATGACGACATAACATATGAAATCGAAGGAAATGATCAGGATGAGCAAGCCATGAGGTTGGGTGGCCAAAACGTTAATTATGTAATGACTAAACTCTAAACCATGCAATTATAC